ATCGTTTTCAAGGAGCGCAAAAAAAAAGAGAAAACAGTTCAGATAAAAAAAATATGGGTTTCTTTCCCGGTTCCATTTTCCCCTGTGAAAAAAGTGCAAAAATTATGTTTACGCTTATATTAATTTCTCTCACATTTTCTCATACCTGGATTTGAAATTAGTGTTGTAGAGCTGTTCTTTGAAATATTTTGAGTTATATGATCGTAATTAGAAGGGATCACCACATATAAACCATTATAGAAAGCTCTGTGCTCAATCGAGATTTTTGCGCATAAATAAGAAACAGGCCAATGTACAGCCTGTCTGGCAATTATACTCGAACCCAACAAAAGAAAGGAATGATGCAAATGCAGAAAAACAAATAATTCCTGTAGTGTACTGTATATTAAAGAGGGTACCTAAAATATGTGTTCCTATCAGTTTTTTTTTCAGAGCAATTTATTGTTTGATTTGATTGCAAAGAAGTGACAAAAATCACAAGGAACACTGCTTTGCAAGTTAATAAAAGGAAATTGTGCACAAATCCAAATCCAAGCATAGATATTAAATAAATCAAATTTACTCAAGTACAATGTACCCTAATTCAGCGTTCTTGCATGAAAATTTCCCAAAAATGTATCCCTGAATAAGACACACACGTTTTACACGGTTGAAAATTGAATTTTTATTAAAAGTTATAACATCGAACAAAATAATATTACTCTATAAATACTCTAAATGTAAGAAGATGCATCTTTATACTGTAATTGAATTTGAGACAAACCGAATTTCCTGTTCATTACTTGCACCTACAAATAATGAGTTATGGCCCATCCATAAATTTCCTAATTTTTTTCATGCTCCAGAAAATGTACACCTGCATGCCAGTCACACTCCACTTTTTGCCTCAAATTTGCAGAAAGAAGGTGCGCATGGTACTTGAGTAAATTTGGTACCTACAGATAAAAAAGGGATAAAAAAAGAGAGAGGTAATTCGTTACCAGAAAGTTTGCGTGAAAACTGCTTTTTAATCGAAATAAAAGTTGAGAGAGGAGGAAAAACCTTCACTGGAGTTTCCTCGGTGCATTCTCTCCACAATAACACAGCCATCACTTTGCTTACTTTTTTTTCTTTTACTTTTTTTAACCAAAAAAAACAGGGCAACGTTTTTTGGTGCTTCTCGGGTGGTAAATCGTGATACAAGATTCGGATGATCTAAAACCATATTGTTGATTAAACTGCTTCCGTCATGTCAAGTTGTCAACATTCCTATAATGAAACTGGACATGACTGAGAGGCGAACCCGTGTGTGTCAGTACTTTCTTCGCATTCCGGTGCTTGTCAACATGCCTCTGTTTTGCCGAGGGTCGGACTATATACTGACTCAATGGCAGCTGATTCCTGCGTCCTGCTGTTGACGCTAATCAGGTTTTCTCTGCAAATCCATTCATTCCCTCTTTTTTTTTTACATATGGGGGTGGGGCAGGGAATGGTCTGAAAATTAATATTGAGTAAAGGACGAAACTTCTTTTTGACAGAACAGTACTGTGATGGTGCACGACTGCATCTCGTGAGGGAATTAACTTGGGTCGTATACGAAATCATTGGCCGTGTGTTCTTTCTCGTCCGTGACCATCATGCGTTAGGAAAACGCATGATGCGTTAGGAAAACGGGGGAAATAATTGCATCAAAGGAATAAGACGATGTTTTTTTCTTTATTTTTTAATGATTTACAGTAGTTTTGATTTCCTTGCTGAACGCAGCCTGAATATCTCATCGAATCCTTCTTTTCTCACTCTACAGCATATTTATTATTAATTTTCTTTCGAATTATTTAGCCAGCTTTGAAGCAAGACCGCGATGAAATGTGTGCATTTAAATGAACAGGATCGCGGATCTTCGTCTTTGAAAAGGGAATAGCAATGCATTAATTCAATGCATTTGAAAGTTTTTTTTTTGGGTGAATTTGTGTACTGAATGGATTCATTTTACTGTACTGTTTTCTTAGGGAGAAGGGGGTCTTAAGCAATTTCTTGTTATCGCAGAGGATAATTGTTCGTGTTATTATCGCCAGCTGAGATAACCAGCAAGGAAGGGAAAATGCTGGTAAATGAAGATACAATATTTGTATTTATTTAATTTTGCCCCGAATTGATTTTCTGGAATACCTCGTGTCCTTGTGATAACTCCTTAATTTTTCTCTTATCTTGGACAAATCAAGACAGAACATTCAAGACAGGGCCAATTTGAGAAAAAGATAATTTGAGAAAGGGCCAAATTATGATGGAGACAGGGACAATTCAAGACAAAAACTTTTTGAGACAAATACAATTTGAGGCATACACTTTTGGAGACAGGGACCATTTGAGACTGAAACTTTTTGAGACTTGGATGAGACAAATACATTTTGAGAATTTGTGACATTTTGAGACAAAGTGACTTGACTGTGTTTCTTCCTATTATCGTATGTTTAAGGTGTGAAAATTTACAACAAAATTACTGTTTAGTGAAAATTCTATGATCCCAGGGTGTTTCTCCTTTTTGTCCATCATCACGGTCAAAAGATTTTTCCTTGTCAAGTAAAACCCCAAATCTTTGAACCAACCCAAGCAGATTCCTCTCCAGCTCATCAAGATAGTTTTTTTCTCAATTTGTCCATGTCTCTAATTATTGCTGTCTCAAATTATCATAGTCTCAAATTGTCCCTGTCTCAAATTGTCCTTGTCTTGAATTGTCCCTGTCTCTAATTGTCCCGGTCTCTAATTGTCAGTCTCTAATTGTCCCTGTCTCAAATTGGCCCTGTCTTGATTTGTCTGTATCCCATTCTCATCCCTCTCCTTCAAATGCAAGGGGTTTAAGAAAAGTTCCTGGAATACAAATTGAAACGGTACAGGATTGAGCTGAAAAAAATATTATGGTTCAGAAAAACAATAATAATGGAAGAATGGCGAAATGACTTTTTTTCAAAAACCTTGAGCCAACCCTTGGAATTATCGCCTTGTCGATTTCACGATTTCTGACTGAGAAGCTGTCATACACAAAAAAATAATAATAATAACCTGCAAGATGGGCACCTCATCATTTGAGTGAAGAGCGAAATTCTGCCATGGTGACTTTTGCACACCCAAAAAATTGAAAAAAATGTGTCAATGACAGAGCTGAATATTTTCTTGACCAAAAAATGTTGTTTTCTGAACAATAATTCTGCTCTATCTAAATCATATACGCCCTTTCGATTTTTCCCGAGAACTTTTGTTAGTCCCCTCCTATATGTAATATATTGTATGTACAAATACATATATACATATATACACGCATCAGGGGGGATTCTGAAGCTCAGCAGTAAAGCGTGCTGATGGACAAATGGAAGCAATACGTGGGCACACACACACACAAAAAAAAAATCCGGGACAAGAAGAAATAAACGAAATCTCATAGAAACACGGATATATGCCGCGAACGCTGGTCGAGGATTACGAGGTGTGGGAAACGAAAATACTATAAAAAATAATATATACGTGTGTATAGAAAAAAAAGAAAATAATAATAATGATGATGCTGCGTCGGTCGGTCGGTGTCTATTCGTGGCACGCGGACTCCGTCGTCGACGACGTTCTTTCGTCACCACGATGAGATACCACGTGTCGCGCTTCTTTTGCTGCCACTGCTGGGGTCGACATCACCGTCGACACACGGCGAGAGGATGTCGACCATTTCGGTATAGCTAATGAGCTTTGCTTATTAACGAATGAACTTATTCGTGGCTTTTCCACTCATATTTTAATGTGCCTAATGCTAGAGTTCGGGAATGAAGCAATTATGTCGAATATGGCAATATGATGTAAAAGGATGGGTGTTCTTGAAAGTGAACTGTTCAAAAGTCAAGATGGATGCAATATTTGCCGCTGTAAGAATTACGCAAAGACCGAGTTGAAGAGAAAATTAAGCTTTCGAGAATATACATTAATTAATGCTAACTCGAGTCAAGTACATTTACTGTATACGGTATCGTTGTGTTGAATGCCGGAATTAGGCCGGGGAATTTCGCGCGCAAAAGCTATGGTACTTTGCCGAGCGTTTGCAGTTACCTTGATAATGATAGAATCGACCATAAAATAAAAGCGAAAATGCACTCTTCTAGTTGAAAATCTGTGTAAATCGCCTAATTTATTCCTTGAATTAAGGTACTATTGTTATCGAGAACTTTGATAATCTAAAGTTGAGTCATTTTCAGTTGAGCTGATTTTAATGTACAGTACTTTAATTTAGACATGATGAAAACTGCTACATATGGACTCTCTCTCTTTCTCTCTCTCTGTCTCTGTGTCTGTCTCTGTATCTGTCTGTCTCCATATCTCTCTCTGTCTCCGTCTCTGTATCTCTCTCTCTGTCACTGTATCTCCCCCTGTCTTTGTCTCTCTGTCTCTGTCTCTCTGTCTCTGTCTCTGTCTGTCTCTGTCTCTGTCTGTCTCTGTCTCTCTCTCTCTGTCTCTGTCTCTGTCTCTCTGTCTGTCTCTCTCTCTGTCTCTGTATCTGTCTGTCTCTGTCTCTGTATCTGTCTCTCTGTCCCTGTCTATGTTTCTCTTTCTCTCTGTCTCTGTCTCTGTCTATGTCTCTCTTTCTCTCTGTCTCTGTATCTCTCTCTTGGTCTCTTTCTCTCGCTCTCCAACGAATTTCAAGGGACCAGAAAAAATTAATTGTACAGAAAATTCACGAAATTCAAAGACAAACAAAGTTGCGGAAAGTTGGCGTAGAAACTCAGCAAAACCGATGGAAAATTCCAAGAGGAACTCCGGGATACTTCTATTGCAGAAGACTCGAAAAAATTCTGCTCATCGCGATTTTGTCATGCTTGGGCTGCTTCTTCGCAAATTTTTTCGAATGTACTATACATAGTCCGCTCAATATAAAAGATCCTTGAGTTTGTAAATGAAAAATAAATAAATAAATCATGAAGAGAGGGGTAAAAATGCCTAGTTTGTTTTCCTCGAGGAAAGGGATCACGTGTGTCGGACGAACAATGCGGGGGTTCAACAAGGCGGGAATGCACGAGCTCGCAGTCAACGTTTTGCTGATGAGCGGGGAGGGGAATCGGGTTGCTGGGACGTGTTTCCTGTTACATTTGGTGCATTCCTTTTTTTCGCACAAAGGCTTTTGTCAGGATCCTCTCGGCTGAATCCTTATTGAAGATCCTTCTCTTTTATTTTCTTTTTTTTCTGCGCTGCTATGTACGTATATATATTGTATTTATAAATATATATATATAGAGGGTTTTGATTCTGTCTATCAATGGGCGCAGGTCATGGAAGAAACCTGTTACGATTCAGTCCTTCATTGGCATGAAAAAGAAAAACGGATTATAGCTAACTCTTTTTTTTAATCGAAGTATGATTTTTAAAATCGGGCTCTTCGTTGGCCTGAAATATAAAATTTTCTGAATTCGCTTGTAAACGATCGGAATCTGATTTCTAAAATCACCGAGTCCTTCATTGGCCTGAAAAAAGAAAATCGGCTGTTTTCGCTTTTAAAAAAATCGGAAGGAAGCATTTTTTTTTTTTGCGACTGTTTGACCACGAATCGAATTTTCTGAAGTAAAATGCGCATTTAAAAAATAAAGTATTATACCAGAAACTGCTGGATTAAAAGAGCGTAAGGCATTGATCGTAAGCAGAGAAGCGTATGAGCGTGCTTGTTATTATTTTGGGTTCAATTGTTGCTCTTTGAACGTGTACCAGAATATGACTTATAATAGTCCACCTGAATCGTGAAAGCATAATTCATCAGAAATGGAACATCTACTGCTTGCCAATATTGACACGGACAACCAAAGAATCGCGGTTTTCAAATTTCAGCGTTTAAAAATGCTGAGAAGCTGACTGCATATGTGCTGGACTCAAACGTATTTGAGTTCATTTTGAAAATCGGACACGACACATGCAGATTTTAAATAGAATTGCCCTATTTTGCCTTTTCACGTGATCTGCTTGAAGTTTTCTTCGTTGAATATATTGTACTTCAGCATTCATACGTCTTCGTACTTCGTTTTGTCATTTTTAGCGGCAATGTACTGTATAGGTGAAATTCAACCACAATATATTTCTACTCACTTAGTACTGTATTTACTCGAGTACCATGTGCACCTTTTTTCTCAAATTTCATAAGAAAAAAGGGGTGCACGTCAAAAGCGGGTACAAATTTTCCAAGACATTTTAGGAAGTTATGTCTGCATTATACTTAATTATAATGGAGAAATTTCGAACAAATGTAACAAGAAAACTTTTTTTGTACTGAATCAGTTGAAAATTGATCAGATTTTTGTTCAAATAATGTCTTAAGTCAATTTTTTGTTTTTATTTTCAAAATTTTGTGGTTTCAGATTCACTAAAAATAGGGGTGCGTGTCTTACTCAGGGATAAGATTTTAGCAAATTTTCCAACTGAAAAACCCCTGTGCATGCCTTACTTGAGGGTGCATGGTACTTGAGTAAATACGGTATACCCCTCATTAATATTAGATATACAGTATTTCCTTGGTAAAATTCAGGGATTTTGAAATTGCTAGTAAATCTGTACACAGTACCTTGGAGTTTCTGGCATTCTCTTTATCATGCCTCTATAAAAAGATAATCTTTAAAGGTGTCTCATATTCAGGAATTGTCAATATAATACTGTATATAATACCTGCTGCGCTTGAACCTTGATAATCAAACCTCCCTATGTCGGATTTTTTAAAGTCATTGCTTGAATTTCCTAATAGGAACAATGTATTAAAGAACCTCCCTAACTTCAAGGCTTTCCCTTTGAAACCTCCATGATTTGGATTAGATATTTTGGGCTATTATTTTATTGGCACAGGAAAGAGGAAAACAATAACAATGTAATTTGATGCATTTATTGGAAGGAAGTTAAAGACAAATTTTGCAATTGAACCCTTGCATCCAAGTTCACTATACAGTACTGTCAACTCATTTAAGAAGCAATCCAAGGCCTATATGTTATTTTCAATTGAAGTTTCCTGCAATTCTTCAATTTTTCCAACAACACAAATGCTTGTTACCCCCAACTCTAAACCTCCCAAACAGGAATCTTTTTTTGTTTGTTTTACTGGTCCCTTTGAGTTTGACATGAAGAGGTTTGACTGCATATTTTAAAACACAATCAATATTCTACCATTGATTGAAAAATTCTCAGGATGGAATGTGAAACCGTTTGAACTTAAGAAATTTAATTTTTGAATTGTAATCTCGGGAGTTGCAAATCGATTTTTTGAGGCAGTTTGAAGGAGTGTAAATTATTTTTGACGGAATTCATTTTCGGTTTTTCAGGGTTTGCTCAACTTCCATTCCATTTCTGCTGACCGACAATACGCCTTGTTGATTGCCAAGAGGCTGTGTCCGCATTGGGACCAGGTGAGAATAAGAACTGAAGATTCTAACTTGCGTTTCCCACCTTTTACAGCACAGAACTGATCAAATGNAGATCCTTGAGTTTGTAAATGAAAAATAAATAAATAAATCATGAAGAGAGGGGTAAAAATGCCTAGTTTGTTTTCCTCGAGGAAAGGGATCACGTGTGTCGGACGAACAATGCGGGGGTTCAACAAGGCGGGAATGCACGAGCTCGCAGTCAACGTTTTGCTGATGAGCGGGGAGGGGAATCGGGTTGCTGGGACGTGTTTCCTGTTACATTTGGTGCATTCCTTTTTTTCGCACAAAGGCTTTTGTCAGGATCCTCTCGGCTGAATCTTTATTGAAGATCCTTCTCTTTTCTTTTCTTTTTTTTTCTGCGCTGCTGCATGTATATTTATAATATATATAGAGGGTTTTGATTCTGTCTATCAATGGGCGCAGGTCATGGAAGAAACCTGTTACGATTCAGTCCTTCATTGGCATGAAAAAGAAAAACTGCTGGTTTAGCTTCTTTTTTTATCGAAGTATGATTTTTAAAATCGGGCCCTTCATTGGCCTGACCTAAAAAATTTTCTGAATTCGCTTGTAAACGATCGGAATCTGATTTTTAAAACCACCGGGTCCTTCATTGGCCTGAAAAAAAGAAAACCGGCTGGTTTCGCTATTTTAAAAAAAAATCGGAATGAAGCATTTCTTGTGCGACTGTTTGACGACGAATCGAATTTTCTAACGTAAAATACGCATTTAAAAAATAAAGTATTATACCAGAAACTGCTGGATTAAAAGAGCGTAAGGCAATGATCGTAAGCAGAGAAGCGTATGAGCGTGCTTGTTATTATTTTGGGCTCAATTGTTGCTCATTTTTTTGAACGTATACCAGAATATGACTTATAAGTGTCCATCTCACTCGTGAAAGCATAATTCATCAGAAATGGAACATCTACTGTTGCCAATATTGACACGGACAACCAAAGAATCGAGGTTTTCAAATTTCAGCGTTTAAAAATGCTGAGAAGCTGACTGCATATATGTGCTGGACTCAAACGGATTCGAGTTCATTTTGAAAATCGGACACGACACGTGCAGATTTTAAATATAATTGCACTATTTACCTTTTCAGGTGATCTGATTGAAGTTTTCTGCTGTGAATATACTGTATTGTACTTCAGCATTCATATGTCTTTGTCAGTTTTTGCTTCAGATACTTCGTTTTGTCATTTTTTGCTGCAATGTATAGGTGAAAATCAAACACAATATACTTCTACTCACTTACTACCGTATTTACTCAAGTACCATGCACACCTTTTTTCTCAAATTTCAGAAGAAAAAAGGGGTGCACTTCAAAAGCGGGTACAAATTTTCCAAGAAGTTTTAGGAAATTATGTGTGCATTGTACTTAATTATAATGGAGAAATTTGGAACAAATTTAACAAAAAAACTTTTTTGTACTGAAACAGTTGAAAATTGGTCAGATTTTTGTTCAATTCATGTCTAATGTCAATTTTTTGTTTTTATTTTCAAAATTTTGTGGTTTCAGATTCACTAAAAATAAGGGTGCGCGTTTTACTCAGGGATAAGATTTTAGCAAAATTTCCAACTGAAAAACCCCTGTGCGCGCCTTACTCAAAGGCGTGTGGTACTTGAGTAAATACAGTATACCACTCATTAATAGTAGATATATATTTCCTTGGTAAAATTCAGGGATTTTGAAATTGCTAGTAAATCTGTACACAGTACTTTGGAGTTTCTGGCATTCTCTTTATCATGCCTCTAACAAAAGATAATATTTAAAGGTGTCTCATTCAGGAATTGTCAATATAATACTGTATATAATACCTGCTATGCTTGAACCTTGATACTCAAACCTCCCTATGTTGGATTTTTTAAAAAGTCCTTCCTTGAATTCCCTATTAGGAAAAATGCATTAAAAAACCTCCCTAACTTCTAGGCTTTCCCTTTGAAACCTCCATGATTTGGATTTTCTGGAGATCTTTAGGGCTATTATTTTATTGGCACAGGAAAGAGGAAAACAATAACAATGTAATTTGATGCATTTATTGGAAGGAAGTTAAAGACTGATTTTGCAATTGAACCCTTGCATCCAAGTTCACCATACAGTACTGTCAACTCATTTAAGAAGCAATCCAAGGCCTATATAATATTCCCAATTAAAATTCCCTGCAATTCTTCAATTTTTCCAACAACACAAATGCTTGTTTCCCCAACTCAAAACCTCCCGAACAGGAATCTTTTTTTGTTTTTGTTTTACTGGTCCCTTTGAGTTTGACATGAAGAGGTTTGACTGCATATTTTAAAACACAATCATTATTCTACCATTGATTGAAAAATTCTCAGGATGGAATGTGAAACCGTTTGAAGTTTAGAAATTGAATTTTCAAATTGTATTCTCGCCCGGGAGTTGCAAATCGATCTTTCGAGGTAGTTTGAAGGAGTGTAAATTATTTTTGACGGAATTCATTTTCGTTTTTTCAGGGTTTGCTCAACTTCCATTCCATGTCTGCTGACCGACAATACGCCTTGTTGATTGCCAAGAGGCTGTGTCCGCATTGGGACCAGGTGAGAATAAGAACTGAAGATTCTAACTTGCGTTTCCCACCTTTTACAGCACAGAACTGATCAAATGGGAAAAAAATTGCATTCGTATTTTTTAATCCAGCGCGCCCTATGTTTTGCAGAACGTCGAATAATAGGGTCGCATAGAGAAATACTTCCTCGTACGAATTACCAGAGGGTTGGGCAACGGAGTGCTTTTAGTTTTATTTTGAAAGAACCATTGCGAAGAAACGAACCTTATTGTCGCAGTTTTTTTTTACTTTCTTAGCTTTCCTACCCCTTCCTGCAGAGGAAATCTTTTATTATTCATTCTGGTACATTCTCTGTGTTCTTATCGATGCATTCATCATTTCCTCAGGAGACTTGCACGAGCACCTCGGGGGAATACTATGTTGTGGAGATCCGCACAAGGCAAGTACCTCGTTCAGTACTGTTTCTTGCTTTTTCATCAGTTCGCGCGAAACGTGTTCGAACCTGTAACTGTGATGAAAATTATTATCCCTAGCGTTGAGAGAAGGAATCGTCATAATTTATCAACCATAGTAATACAATATTGAGCATACAGTAAATTTAAATCGCCGTCGATTCTAAAGGAACACTTCATTTCTTTTTTAATGCCCTCGATCTTCAATTCAATTTCAGGTCCTTCATAAAGCACTGAATCGTTTCCACAACAATATTACGTCCACATCTAGGTGCCCCAGTTCTGTGAATATTTGATGAAAAATCCCCATGAAAATAAGCACGAAGTTGGTCTGATGAAGAAAATGTATTACAGTATAGTGGAGTAAATCTATACTTGAACATATTTTTGTCCATAAAAATGGCTCAATTTTCCCAAAATTTCAAAATGTTCATTTTTATCATTTTTCTGTAAATTTTGAAGCGTTTGCATCTCGAGAAATAGTCCAAAATGTGGGGCAAATTTTGCCAAGCTTCAATAAAGTGCCCGTATGTAGAAATGTCCGCATTTCTGGGCCCAAAGTACCTTATGAGGGTTGTCCCCCCACTTGGGTAACCTTTATTTTTGAGTAGATATAACTGTAAAAAAAATCATGATTTAGCCCATGATGTTGGGATTTTTCCAGATCAAACAAAATTTTGCAATCTACTGAGAAACTTTTCAGTTATGTGCAGAGTTCTTCACCTTTGTCACAGGATGCTATACATTTGTCAGGACGGCTGAAGACTGAAATTGTGTTGTTGTCTTAATTATTAAGTAAAATTTAAAAAAGATAGCAGTTAAACCGACAAAAAATTTAAAACTTTTCAGCTGGCCTGAAAATGTTTAGCATCATTTGCTCTGGCAGTAGCTGGAAAATTTTCACTCATCATCATGCAGTAAATCGAAAAATTGTGTTTAAAAATTTGAAAAAAAAATCCCAGATCCTTACAACATCACGGGCTATATCATAATTTTTTTTTTCAAGTCATACCTATACTCAGGAAATAACTAATGTCGCGCCCGAGTGGGACAACCCTTCATGCATGAAAAAGAGTCTGTCTCTTTCAAAGTATAGCGCAATTTACAAAAAAGAGAGCAAAACAAAAACAAAAAAGCATCGTCTTCCATTGCATTCACGGTGATTGAAATGCACGCAGGCGGCGGTTGAGATTGTCCAGAAGGCATCAGGGACTAATGGGGCCGGATGACAGCGACGCCTGGTTTTGTTGCGGGGTGTGGAGTCCGCGGGGCCACGGACTCGCCGTCGTGCACAACGAAAACTCTCTGCTTTATTTCCCGACGCCGGGAGACGGCGACGGCGACCACGTTCTTCTTTCGCCGCATCCGCCGTCGGGATCCGTCCGCAACGGGAATCCCGACTACTTGTACACTGGTAAACCCCCCCCTTTTCAGTTTCCTTCCGGAATTTTCTTCAGCATACACTCAAACCTCTCCAAGTAGTGGAATTTCAAGGGACCAGACCAAAAAAAAAATCGACTTGGAGAGGTTTTGATTTAAGGACATTTGGAGATGGGGAGATTTTTACGTAGGAATACAAGCATTTTTACTGTGGGAAGGATACAAGAATTGCCAGAAATTGTAATTGGTAATATTCTGGGCCTTAAATTGCTTATAAATGAGTTGACAAGATGCTGAACTTACAAAAATGTGTTGGTCTGCAGAAATTATTTTTTGGGAATTTGCCTGTCTGCAAAAAATGTTATGGAAGTTTTGCCAATCTGTGGGTCTAAAAAGGTTGGGGAACACTGCCATATACAGTACAGTCAAACCCTGTTAAACTGCCAACATCTGCGCAGCAAGATTTTGGCAGTTTAACAAGGGTGGCAGTCTATCAAGGGTAGTGGTTCACTACAAAATTACTACAGGACAAAAAAAATTGAGAAAAAGCATGATGGATATAAAAAGAATACCGTATTTACTCAAGTACCAGGCGCACCTTTTTTTCTCAAATTTCAGAAGAAAAAAAGGGGTGCGCGTCATAAGCGGGTACAAATTTTTCAAGAAGCTTCAGAAAGTTCTTTGTGCATTATACTTAATCATAATGGAGAAATTTTGAAAAAATGTGACAAGAAACTTCTTTGTACTGAAAAAGTTGAAAATTGGTCAGATTTCTGTTAAATTCATGTCTAAAGTCAAACTTTTTGTTTCTATTTTTGAAATTTTGTGGTTTTAGATTTACTAAAAATTGGGGTGCAAGTCATACCGGGGATAAGATAATAACCAAATTTCCAACTGAAAAAACCCTGTGTGCGCCTTCCTCGAGTAAATACGGTATCTTTACATTAATATATGACTTCTTGTGCATTTTTATTAGTGTTCTTGTTTAATTTTGTAGCAAATATTGCATCCATTTGGTTTTGATTTTTCAGCCATTGCATTCTGTTTGTATTTTAAAATTGAATCTCTCTCCAAATTGGCGGTTTAAAGGGGTAAAACAAACAAGGGCAGGTGCATATTTGTGGCCAAAAAATTGTTGGCGGATGGCAGTCTATGGAGGTTTCCCCATCCTTTTAACATTGGGTAGATTTTGGCGGGAGGTGAGGGTGGCGGTTTATTGGGGGGTGGTTTAACGGGGTTTGACTGTACTATAATAGCCCACTAGAAAGTGTGGAGGTTGCCCAAGTTCATCAACAGCCTCTGATTTGAGACTTGATATCCAGCTCCCCAGAATTTGCATTATTGACTTGGCAATTTTAAGACAGGATCAAAGTGAATCACCTCGCAATTAAAATCGCTGAAACCATCTCACGTTTGCAAAGACTCATTGAAACATGGGCAAATAAGTGCTTAAGCAGTGCTCGTATAGACTGGATCACGGAGATAATCCTAGTAATGTACAGTACTATCACACTGATCCGCAGTATGATCATCATCACATCAATCAAACGCCCCAGAGGCAGATGAAAGCGTCTCTCCGCATCACCGCAAATCCTCAGCTGCCTCCGAAAACAAAATAAAACCCAAAGGTTTCGAAAAAATGAATCCCCAAGAAGTTGTCAACATGGAGATGCGTATATACACGTACTTGTATACTGTGCTGTACTTGGGCATGAAAGACAGGCTTTCGAGTGCATCGGTGATGGATTTTTATTTTATTTTTTTCTCTCTCTCTTTGATTCGGTTCCACAGCGCGGATTTACGGCGACAGGCCGGCGATTTGGGTGAACAGCAACGGCTCGCATGTGATATACGTGAGGCAGAACAACTCCGGCGTGGACGAAATGAGCCTTCCTATATTCGGAAAGCCTGTCGTCTACGCTGCAGCAGGCAACGAATCCGAGGCTACGTCAGGAGGTCCTACTGTCGACCAGTTGACAAATGCATCTAGTGTCGACACTGCTGACGATGTCAGGGTCGACGACGACGACGAGAAGGAGGAGAGAAGGGCTCGTGTTGCCAGACCCGAGATTGCTCACCTACCGAAATGGAAGTCCTTCCATTATCCAATGGTGAAATTATTATTTTTAAATACTGTCAAAAACTATAACATAATGCAAAAGTCTTGCCATTTCTGCAAGTTAAAATCAAGCTCTTCTCATATGCAAGTTTCTGGATTGAAATCCATCAAATCTCCCTCAGAGCCATAACGAAAAGACATGAATCCAGGCCTCCAGTTGAGTGCAAAAAAGTTATTTCAATTTTCATATTTTTTAATATCAAAGCTTGCCAATTTGCATGTTGGGCACTTTCAATGCAAAAACGGCCTTTAAAAGATTAGAAAATTACATTGTCGAACCTCTTTCACTCGAATTATCTCAAGGGACCAGCAAAAAAAAAAACTTTGAGTCAGGGAGATTTCAAATAAAGGAAACAAACGTTTTTGTTATGGGAAAGCTGATGGAGGAATTGCAGGAAATTGTAAATGGTGATATTCTGGACCTTAAATTGCTTCTTCAATGAGTTGCTTATCTTGGGTGCAAGGGTTGAATTGCCCAATTAGTCTTTCACTTAATTTCAAAACACATCATTACTTTGTTATTGCCTTTCTCTTTCCTGTGTCAAGAAAATAATAGCCAAAAGGCCTAAAAAATTCAACTTACGTAGCTTTGAGAGGAAAGTTTCTTGCGTTTTCAGTTTTCAATGCTTTCCTGTAAGGGAATTCAGACAGGGACTATAAAAATTCAACTTATGGAGGTTTGAAATATTGAGGTTCAATTGTATTTTTATTACAACATTTTTTCCAGATTTTGGAAATTTTCAAAACTGTTCAAAAATATGTTCACCGACTTCAAATATTTTTTTTTCAATTCGTCCGGATGGCAATTCATAAAATCTTCCAGTTCTGCAATTCCCTCAAAGTTTTGATGCTTTTTCTTCTCAGTTCGACCTGCGGGTTGAGCGAACATTTGAACCGTGACAGGGAATAATTTAATATTGCTTCAAAAACAGAGAAGCACAAGACTTGAAAAACTTTCTTGAACCAACTCAGTCGTCCTCAACCTAAGATCTCACGCAGAAAAAAATCAATTCAGTCAGATAAACGTCATTCCGCGGAGCGAAATCAACTAATTAATGAATCAACTAATTAATGAATCAACTAATTAATGAATCAACTAATTAATGAAACTCGACCATCACTGATTCAGATAAATATAAATGTCTGGTTCAATCAAACTATTCGGGGACTCTCTCAGATCGACAGCAAGCCACATTACGCTAAAAAAAATATTATATTTTGTTGACTAATCATCCGGTATTCGCAGGTTGGAAGACGATGTCCCAAGATCTCCGTTCATGCAGTTTCTCTGTTGGATGGATCAACAGTTTCGTGGGAGCCTGTGGATGAACGGTGAGAGATGCGAGAGAGTTAAAATTTGAATATTGCTCTCTCCGTTGATCATTCGCAAACTTTCAAGTACCGTATTTTTTTTTTTTTCAGATGCACTTACGTGCTGGAAATAAAGTGGATAAACGATACCCACGCAGTCGTAATTTGGACGGACAGAAAACAAAGTCTTTACGTGTCTTGCCTGCACGATATCAGCCATTCGCGATGCAAAGAGGTAAGTGATGCTACTTCGCATCTGAAAAAAACTCAAAATAACGAACTCTTGAGAACTCGAAAGTTAATACAGTACTGTATCAAAATCGCACGTTTCTTTATATAAGTTGAAAACGAGGGATGCAAATATTCGCGAACAGACGAACACGAAAACTTTCCTAGGGCATCTCATGAGAAATGCTTCTCAAAAAATGATGCGTCCCTCGCCTATTGTATTGCATCCATCGTCCAGATTTTCTCATTTCACTATACTGTAGTGAAACAAAGGCTGTCCCAATCGGACGCGGGCCTCTGATATTAATAGATTAGGAATGATAGTAAAAACGAATGCGTGACATAACCAATGACGTTCCAAGGTTCTGGGATTTTCTTCATAATTAAAATTGTTTTTCCAACTCACTGCATGATTAAGTGAAAATTTTCCAGTTACAGTCAAGAGTATTCCAACCGTGTCACAAGATACTACAATTTTGTCAGGCCAGCTTAAAAAATTGGAATTTTGTTGTTGCTTTAACCATTATCTAAAATGTAGAAAAGATAATGGTCAAAACAGAACAAAAAAATATTTTAGCTGGCCTGAAAAAATTTTAGCACCCTGAGACATGGATGGAGAATTTGGACTGTAACCAACAGGAAAGTATTTAATTATTACCATGCAATAATTGAATTTCTTCATCAAAAAAATCCCAGAACCTTAGAACATCATGGACTTATTTATTAAGAATCCCCTCTTAACAATCACATTCAATCTAGAAATATTAGAGGCCACGTCCAACTGAGGCATTCCTCGTAAATAAGAAAAATACTGTTCTGTTTATATTTTCAAAATTAAAATTTTCAGTGATCTTGACATATTTAAGCACGGTGTGCAATAAATGGAAAGTTCTGACCATAGTGGGTTTTCACTCGTCATCTTGCTGTGTATTGAAAAACGTCTTGAAATTTTCAATTTTTTTCCAGATGCCTTGAAAAGTTTCAGACGACCTAGAAAATTGAAATTTTGTTGTTTTTTTAACCATCTTTTTCTGCATTTTGGATTTTGATTAGAACAACAAACTAATTTCCATTTTCAGCTAGTCTGACAAATTTTTAGCACCGAGTGATGAGTGGATAGCTCTTGCCATTACTGTATTGAAAAGTTTTCACTCATCATCACACAGTAAACCAAAAAACGTTTTCAAGAATCAGGACTAAAATATCAGTCTTACACATGGAGTTAAGCCCCAATGAAGTACTTTAGCTGATTGTCATCAAACAATTAGAAATGTGGGCTTGAAGAAAGGTTTCACAGAATGAAAAATACAAATAATTTATTTCAGCAGGGGAAAATTTTTCGGGAGTGTTATTGGGAGAAAAGCCAACTTCTATTTTAATCAGATAATTTCAACAGTCATCGTCTTTCCAAAAGTTTAGGTGAAGATATAAGACTTCATTGCTACTTTTCATAAATTTATCCTGCTGAAATTTTTTTGTGGACCAGCAGAAAACTTTCGATGACCGGCTCATGGGTTGGGAACACTTGTCCATGTATCATCATACTTCTTTCGCAGTCAGGCCTACTCTAGAAATAACAAAAGTCGCGCCCAAGTGGGACAACCCTCGTATACTGTATAGTACTCATCAATCAAGACGATTTCACACATGCACAGGTGTATCGTCAAGAGCTGTCGGAAGACTCGGCGAGCTGGATTCCGCATTCCATGCGAGACGGCTCGAGCTTGTTCTTCTCTGAAGATTTCGACCAAATGCTCATCCTCGCTCAGCTGCTCGACGGCACCAAGGGTTATTTCACGCATGTCGTAATTGTGGACTTGGCGACGACGCGAGTCACGCCTGTCACGCATGGACCGTTTGACGTGCACCGGATCGCGTCTTGGGATGCTGGCACTGATCTTTTGTAAGCATGCCTTACTCGACTAGACACGGATCAGCGAACACCGCCGGTCTCGGGTTCCACGTGTCACCCTCCCTCTCTCTCGAGTCTCCCGCTGCTTCAGTTTAATCTTTGCCCCCCATTTGTAAAACCGCATTTTCCCGTTTCACGAAGACGGAAAGACAGCATTAATGTTTCCGTTCAAGAGGAACAATTTTCTCTAGAGGAAGAGAAATCGATGCGCATTAAGATGCGCTTATTTTGGTCTAAAAGAATCATTTTCAAGAAAATTTCTATTGCTGGGCTCTCAAAAAAAATGAAGGGGTTTCAGATCTTGTTCAACAAATGCACATGGGTTTATTTCATGCCACTGCTGGCTTCTTTCTATTGGGATATATCACACGGGATTACCCAGAAAATTTTCCATGATAGATCGACCTCCGCAAAATAAAATTTAAAAAATAGTGAACATGGAGAAGTGGAATCGCCCTTGAAATTCTGGATTTTTGTGCCTCAATCTTTCACATGATGAACATTGAATTTTAGTTCAAATAGAAGTAACTTCACTGTAAATGAATGTCACTGGTATTGTTTGTGTTTCAGAAATTATAAAAGCTATCCAAAAATGTGGAACAGATTTATTCGTGAACATTATACCGTATTAAATTTTTGAAAAACTTTCAATTGCCTCGACAAGTTGTGCTTGCTTCCTAGCAGCTGATGAGAGCATATCAGAGATATTTCTTGGCCGATTTCATTGTCAACCTTTACTGGGTTACCACTTTTCTCTGAGGCCTAATTTCAGGGCCAATGCCAGATTTCTCATACTTGATCACATGAAAAATTTCTACACGCTTTTCTCTGCAAGACCATATCGCGCAAGCCACGGAATTCAGTTGAATTTCCAAACGTGGCACATTTTCAATCAGAATGTTAGAAAATCCTCCTCTAGGCTATTTAAGATCCGTGGAAAATGACATAGAAGTGCTCATGGCCGATAATTAATTTTTATTGTTATTTTATAGATATTACATAGCCAGTCCGGAAGGACGTCCGGCGGAGCGTCATCTATACGTGACCAAATACACGCCGAGAACATTTGTGGATCCCCACTGCCTCACTTGTCCACCGACGACACCGGACGTGCAACACAGCTTCCCTGCCATCGCGGAAAACGGACTCTGCTTGTATGCTGACGTCCAGTTCAGTCATTCCTCCTCGTACTTCGTACTCGACTGTTACGGACCGGGGATCCCAACAGCTGAAATATTTGCTATTGACAAGGTGAGACTGCGTAGAGTTTGCAGACACACACGCTTGAACGAACTCGGCTGAAATAAGAAACCTTATGACGATGATTAGCGCAGCTCCACATTGGCTCGCTCTTTTCAGAGATCCTGTGTTTCAGAACGAGTTTCGTTTCTCCTCAATTATCGTATTTTTTACACTTGAAACGGCACAAATGATAAGACCTCTTTCACTTCGTGGGACTCAAAGTTAAAGTAACTTTTACTGCCGATGTACGATGCACTTTCTTTACATTACATTTCTTTAGAGTCAGAGGAGTTCGTTTGTTCTATACTCATGCGCTAAGCGATAAAAAAAAAGTTATTCCGGATATCATGATACAGTATTCTGAAAGTGGATTTTTTCTCACAGAATCGTAGCCCCAATTTTCATTCAAAGGATTGTCCAGCTCGAATACTATCTACGTGCGAATCTGAGATACCGTCGAACATAAAACACAGGATACATAGGGTATCCGCGCACTAAAAAAAAAAAAAAACCTTTTTTTGGGGATCTCATGATGAATGCTTCTCAAAGAATACGATGCATCTGTGCGAATCATTATTTGTATTGCATCTATCTTTTCTCATTGCACTATACTAAATATATTATAAAAAGTCTTCACTAGATTTATTTTTTTTAAAGGAAACATTTTTCAATGATCTTGACAAATTTTCAGCATATTGTGAAATGAGTGGAAAGCTCTAATCATAATGGAAAATTGTTCGCTTGTCATCTTGATGTGCGTTGAAAAACGTCTCGAAAATCTGAAAAATTTTCCATATTAAAACAGAGAATTATCTATGACTGTTCTTTCTCAAAAAATTGGCTCTGAACATAAAATCAAGCTACAGTCTTCTCAAGTAAATGCATACGACAATACATTTTTTGTCCACAGCCAACCGGCGGCGGAGTCTCAAGCGTAACAGGGCGCAGAGTGGCAGCCTGGGAATTGAACAACGGGTTGCGTGAGCGCGTAGCGAAGATCGAGCTCCCGGAAATTCGGCGCTTCGATATTCCCGTGGATAATGGGTTCATGGCACACGTCGAACTTCTGCTTCCGCTGTACGCTAACACGGAGGAAGCCGACATCTTCCAGTATCCACTCGTCGTCGCCATGTACGTGTTTCAACGTCAAGATACTACCGTTGAACCTCGATAATTCAAACCTCCTGACGTCGAATTTGTTTTCAAGTCCGTCTTAATTTCCTTCGGAACAATGCATTATACACCTACCCTAACTCAAAAGTCTTCCCCCCCCCCTCAAATCTCCATGATTGGAATTTTCTGGAGGCCTTTTAGCTATTATATCATTGACTCAGGAGAGAGAAAATCAATAAAAATTTAACGATGCTTTTTGTACGGAAATGGAAGACTATTTGGGCAAAGTAATCCTTGCCTCACAGTTCAGAATCCTCTCAATTTCTTGTAGGCCTTAAATCGCTTCTTAAATGCCACAGATAACAGTTACCTTTAAATCATTCTCTCTTACCTTCGAAACGTTCTCGCAACTCGAATTTTTTGCTGGTCCCTTGCCGTACGACTTGAGAGGTTCGACTATATTTGCATTTTCACTGGGAGGAATCCCATGTCCTAAAATTACCTACGAAAGAGTTACTGTAGGAGAAAGGCACCTATGAACAACGGTATTTCCTGGACGTCGTTTTTGGAATATCTCTTCCATTTTCCTAATTACTGGACGGTTTTTTATGCAATATGGATTGAAATTAACTTTCGTACACAGTTAGAATCCTTCGTACATTAAGATTTTTCAATCGAACATAAAACACGGAAGGCGCTTTCAAATTCCAACGAATAGTCAATTACAAAATGATCCATTACTCAGTAAACGACACGGAGCATTCCTAAATTGGAGAAGATGTTTGTGCATCTACACTGCAGTACTGTACTTCAAAAATCGAACAACATTCGAGAAAAATAAATAAATAAAAGCTATTCCAGAGACAGAAGTTAATCCAGAGGAATAATTGGTCATAGTTCTTCATTACTTTTTGCTGGGTGCTGTTTCTTCGCTGATCTTCGCCGGGGTGCTTTTCTTCCATTTATAATAAGTTCAAAACTAATCAAAATTCTGTACCTTACTTCCGTCTCAGGCCGCAGGAACCCGGTGAACAACAAGTGACGGAAGAGTGGGACGAAATCGACTGGCTGTTCCGACTTTCAGTGGTAAAGAGGTGGATCGTGATGCGAGTCGATCTGCGGGGTTCAGGGGGCGAAGGTCGAGCCCGAGAAGCTGAAGTGAGTCGGAACATTGGCCGAGCAGAGACCAAAGACTTGCAAACCGTGATACGAACCCTACTGGCCAAATTTTCCTTCCTCAACCCGGAAAAGATTTGTCTATGCGGTTGGGGCATTAGTGGGTTCTACGTAGTGAGAGCGCTGGCAGAGGATGGGGTGGAATATTTTAATTGTGGTATCGCTGTGGCACCTGTCGCCAACTGGATGAATGCAGGTATGTAACAGGAAGTTACTGTGCATTGGTTTAAAATGTAAATTAAGTCTTCATGAATGATACTATACTGTAATTTCTCCTCCCTCATTTGATTCTGGAGATTTCAATCTAACATGTAGAAAAGATAATGGGCAAAGCGATGAAAATTCTATTTTTAGCAAGCCTGACAAAATTGTAGCACCCTGTGACAGGCGTGGAGAATTCTGACTGTAACTAAATGGAAAATTTTCAATTCCATGCAGTAAATTGAACATGTTTTCGAAAAATTCCAGAATCCTAAAACATTATGGGCGATATCATAATTTATTTTTACTTTCATATCTATTCTAGAAATGATAAAATTTGCGCCCAAATTAAACAACCCTCGTACGTTATGCGAAATATCGTACATGAAAAAGTTATTAGCTTTTTTCAATGCAGCGTAACTTTTCAGGCATCTTAATTTTCCATACTCGGCGCAACTCCGCATCTCTAACCGATTTTTTTAGATGCTTACATTGGCGAGAGAATAATGGGCTTCCCTAACCTGACGGAGAACATCGTCGGGTACATAGAAAACGACGTGCGCAAAATGAGTCCTCACATACAAGGCAAAGATTTGCTGGTAATTCACGGGACGGCAGACTCCACGGTGCTCTTGCACAACTCCATGTCACTTTTCCGAGCTCTCATTCAGAAGAACGTGATCTTCCACGAAATGGTTCGTGGAACATTTCCATGGAGTCCGAAGTTTGTCGTATCTACTCGACATTTTCTTCCAGATTTACCCGGATGAGGGACACAATTTGGATGGTGTCACGACTCATATGCATGCTGCGATGGAAACTTTCATGCAGAATGCATTCGGAGTAGCATTGGACGATGAAGACCAAGTCACAAATTTTCTTGCTGCCGCAGGTTTTGCGTGATGAAAGCTGTGTTTAGTGTGCCAGTGATTTTTTGGGAGGACAGTGCGACAGCAAATTTGACGAAATCGTAAAGGGATACGAGGCATTCTCGTCATTATCAATGTAAGTTTTGAAAATCCGTCTATTACTTTGGTTTCCGAATCCAGAATAGCTCGAAACGTTAAGACAGCGTTCAAAAATAAAATCAGATCAACTACCTGAGTCGGCGAGAGTATAGGTAGTATAATCAACTTCACTTTAAAGATATAAAGTTCGATTTCTTTAAAAGCAAAGCCGATGAACATATTTTGCAGACTCGTTAAATATTCCAATTTAAAAATCACTTGCAATTTTAAATTTTTTTTCGCCATCAGTTTCTTCAAAAAGGTGAAAATTCAATATTTCTCATTTTCTTCCAATCATTCGATAAACTGAGTTGAATTTTTTTATGTTCGGCAAAATGAAAAATGTTGGGGAAATTTTCCCAAAATGAAACGTTTTCTGTCTCAGACAGTCGAATTGTTGGAAAAATTGCGTCGTGTCGTAGTACCGCTGTCAACGGCACAATGTTATTCCAAACTATTTTTGTACGGTTGAAGGTCTATGAATGCGAGAAGGCAGTCCTTTTGGATGTGATATTGATGAAATAAAGTGTTTTCTTCATATGTAGCTATCATTACATCAACCAGCCGCAGGTTTTACCAACATCGCCAACTACAAAATCTTCCGTGACGGTCGCACTTGTCGGAGTCGAACAAGTCACCGTTTCGCACTGTGTCACCCCCAGTGCAACCGCACTAATATTTCTTTTATTGTTGCGAATGAATGACGTCAAGATTAAGGTACTAAACTGCAGCTTTTGAGGCTCACGCAAGTTGAGTTGGATTCAACAAATGGGTTCATATTTTGAAGCATATCGAATATAAATTTTCAAATTATTCCGAACAGCACGAACTTCAATTAGAAAGGATTCAACCATTGGAGTTTTTGAATTGAGATTGAGAGCTTGATACTGTAGCAGTAAGCTTCAAAAATAACTATTTTGAAGAGACTAGATCCTATTTTATAAAATGTAATTGTTCAAAAGACAACAGCGGTATACTCTCGTAAACCTCAATTCATAAAACCCATTTTTGGATCCATTCAAATCAAATTCCTTGCACTACCGAATACAGTAATTTGAAAAGTTATGCTCCACAGAGGCGCTTCAAAATCTCAACCTACGCGTGGAATTAAACTCAAATTCTATGAGCCTCAACAGGCCTCAAAACCTGCAGTAATTTCACTATAAAGTACTTTAAAGCATTATACTCATGCGTAACCATAAAAAAGAGTGCATTTATCCTGGAAATGACTCAAAGCGGAGCGGTGAAAAGCTTAGTTCACGTTTGAAAGCCCAGCAAATTTAGGGAAGGCTTCACGACGGAGAATTGGATTTTACGAAATAAAACAAAAAATGAACTCACGAACTTCCAGTCCTCGATCCCTCTCGGATCCAGTTTAATGATGAGAACCCAGTCGTTCATTCAAGATAGTTCATTAAAAATATCTTGCAGCCTCCCACGCGAGTTGAGGCAAGAAAAGAGTAGCAAGCGATCGAATTGACGTGAAACCAGTTTACAACGGCGAGAGGACTTCACAGCTTTCAACAAATGTTGTTCGTGCGTGAGCACGATTACCAACAAACGTTCAGCACGTCGGGAATTCTTACAGCTTGTCCAAATAAGAAGCAAGATCGGGCAAACCTTCCTTCATCCCCTTCCGCTTACGAATGTCCTGTAATTAAAACAAATTATATTGTTAGTTAGCATACAGTACTTTCTTCGCCGACTACCACTGAATGAGAACTGCTACTTCAGAATATTTTTACGGACAGACACAGGTTGATTAAAAGTTAAATTTGAAATCCTTTACAGCGATATCGACCATACACTACATCTGATCCGATCTTCAAAGACGTGAACCACTTCGGCGTTCGAACATGTACAGTATGTAATCTTGAATCTGAATATCTTCTAGCAACTATTCGGAGATGACTACACGCAACTTGACGCATTTACTATGAAAGTCAAAAAATTGGAACATTCTGAACAAAAAATAGCAGCCTTCACAAAGATATAATTTGCTAATTTTCCTGAGAATAAGACTACCGAACGAGTTCCGCTGCATCATCTTCTGTCCCATCGGAATAATGTTTCGATATTGCATGTGCTAATCTGAACTTTCTGAGACAACATCCGTATCATAAATTTCACAGTACAGCCTATAAATTCGGAATACACGTAACAGTTGTGGCTGCGACGTGACATGAATTGTGAACTGCATAGCACGGTAGATTATTGTACTCCGATATAAACCACAACAGAAATCTTCAGATTATTTCTCGTGAAAAAAGTCCAGCCTTACGATAACGTAAATATTCGTTAATTTTTTGTAACTTGGAGAGAACATCACAGGAAGTTCATACCTGTACGGCATCGTAGATCTTCGAACCCGGCTGCAGTGGGTCACCCGGAAAGACTTGCCAATGGTCGAAGACGCACTGCGGAAATGCTTGACCGCCAGTATTACTTCGCAGATCCGCGGTGAAACCGAAGGATTCGTTCACGGGAAGGTACGCTTTCACAACGAACATGGGAGTCCCGGCAACTTGAGATTCCTCAAACACGTGGCCCCTTCTGCGATTCAATACTCCGTAAATCCCACCAACGGCTTGCTCGGGGCACTGAAGAAAAGTTCAGTACTGCATCAAAAATTTGAAACCAATAGGTAGTGTTCCAAAAACACCAGCATCGCCTTCATATTCGATGAAGATGAAGTTACACAACAATCGCAGCTTTTCTTGGTTTCACACAGAAACACGGACTTTTGTAGTACCGTAGAACGAACTGGACACATACCCAGAACTGAACGGTACCTCCCAGTGAAATCCACCCATAATACAAAACTCAGATTTCAACAAAGCGGTATTCCTAATACTAAATTTCAGATCACTAAATTTCAAATTTAATTAGAGTATGATAGATGACTACAGAATAGCGTTGAACGCACATTATCAGGCTGAAAAATCCCAAAAGCATTCGGATCAATTTTGATAGAGCAGGATACATTACCAAGTATGATTTGCAACCAATACGTATCGGGCAAAATCCAATATTCGTTTCTCTTCAATTACAGTACTCTATTTTCACATGAAGGAAGGGAATATCACTGAATTGAGGAGGATCTATCAGTTCAATACTTGTCGTTATGTGAGTTTACTGTGGATGTATTTCGAAATCATCAGAGATGGAGTATAATCAAATACATTTCGAACCAATCCTCGTATAAAATTTCAGCACTAAAAATAACTGGATTTTTCCACAGAACTGTCGTAAGTTTTAGCATTTACTCAGTGCAGTGGCTCGACTATTTACCTGAATTTCGCAGAGATAAACGGGTTCCATCAGCCTCGGCTTTGCGGTGAGCACACACGCATACAAGACGCGTCGCGCGGTAGGAATGATCTGGCCACCACCGCGGTGAATAGCATCAGCGTGAAGAGTCACGTCATAGATATTGAAACGAACGGCTCGCAAATTTTCTTCGGCTAGCACACCCTGAAAGTCAAAAGACGAGTCAGTTTTCTGCCCTCAATGAAACCCAATTGTTCAACTGCTTCGTGATTTCTTCAGAGGAAAGTTGAAGCCTCATCGTTTTCTTCACTCCACAGTACCTTACTCATCAGTCAGACCGAACGTGATAAGATCAACAGAAAAAAATTAGCTCACCTCCTTCGAGGCCCACTGGAATCCAGCCACGACAGAATCTTTGATTTCGTTCAAATACTGAACTCCCTTCGTGCAGTCCATGAGTATGTTGGGTCCAGTGCCGTCTGGACCGAAGCACCAGATTTTTCGAGCCTCAGTGATATCATACTCGTACTTCTCGCTCAGATAACGAGCGCGAGCTTTCAACTCGTCCTTGGAGCTTACTTTTCCCTAGAAAAAAAAACATTTTTCTGGTACAGTACTAATTTTTAAAAGAGGAACAATACCAGAAATTGCCTGAAATCTTACATCGTCAATATCTTCGGCGAGACCGTCAGGCATTGGTACTGCCCTCATGAAGAGTCTGTTATGCTTATTGGGTGACTTCGACAAGCACATCTGATCGGATTCTTCGCTAACAGTCTCTCGGTAGGACACAACGGGATCGCTTTTCTTGATCGGGATGCACGCGTGATCTTCTTCCAAGTCCTTCAAGCAAATTTCCAAATGAAGTTCCCCGGCACCAGCTATGATGTGTTCGCCGGATTCTTCAATGATGCACTGAACCATGGGATCTGATTTTGCCAATCGCTTCAATCCTGTAATTAAAAGACGTACTTACAATCTCACTCAGCTTTTGGCAATCTGAAAGTTACCTTCGACAAGTTTTGGCAAGTCCGCCGGATTTTTGGCCTCGACCGCAACTCGCACAACTGGTGAAACGCTGAATTTCATCACCTTCAAGTTGTGCGCGTCCTTGAATGTTGAGATTGTACCAGTTTTGACAAGGAACTGATCGACACCGACCAGTCCGCAAATGTTACCTGAAAAAATTCAAAAGGAGACGGTAAAGTAATAATCTCGGATAAAAACAGCAGAAGCACCAAAAACGCAATTGTGAATAATTCCTCAGAAAAAGTGCATGAGCTCGCATATTCATAATAAACTACATGCATAAAATGAGTTCATCTGAGATATCAGAGTCCTGACATCAGTTCGAGCCATCAACTACAGTACGTTTCTCCTACTCCAATAATCTCAGTTTAAATGCAAATCAATGAAGGAAAGTCAGACGTGATACGATCGTCATCATTTAACATTACTTAGACATCAGAAAACAGCCAAATTCAGGCAACGTTAATATATAATACAGCTGAACATCAATACAGTAACTCCATTCTCTCGAAGTCAAGAGTAGTTTGAATTTGGAGTTCTTAATATTCTCCATCGTTACTTCAAACTTCAAAAGGAGGTAATTTTCGACGGTGTCTCCGGAATTGATGATTAAAAAAGTACTGCATATAAAACATACACACCTGAACCTTGATAACTCGAAACTCTTATCAAATACCTACCTACGTCAAATTTTTTCAATTAGCTGCCTGAATTATCATAGAAACAATGTATTGAGATCCTCTAACTGGAAGGCTTTCCCCCTCCACAACTTGACTTTTCTGGATGCCTTTTGCCAATCATTTTATCGATAAACGAAAGAGAAAAGCAATGTATGAAGCTATGAACTTGATGTGTTTTGGAAGGAAGGAAGAGACTAATCGAAAGGAAGTGAAAAACCAAATTAACCCCCGCCCCCTAGTTCAGAATCCCATCATTTCCTTAATTTTAAAGTTTTACGCCAAAAAACACGCATTGTAATTTCCTTTACTTCTTTAAATTTAATCCTCGCAAAAACTAGGTGTCTCTTTAATTCAAAACCTCCATAACTCGATTTTTTGTAGGTCCCTCGCAGTTAACTCGAAAAGGTTCGACTGCACTAGCATTGAAAATCAACGGAATGTGAAAATCGGATTGAAACGTAAAAAATGGACTTCATACCGGCAGGGACGTCGGTAATGGCTTCAACAAATCTACCCATCATGAGAATGGTGCGTTGAATAGATTTCTCGTACAGATCCTCCTTCTTGCCAGGAGTGTAATTGGGGCCCATGATGCGACATTTCAAACCGGTGGAAACCTTGAAAGGGATACCAAAAATTAAGAACGCACGAACTCGCATTCACAAGGCGAGAAACCTACTTTTCCAGAAAATACACGACCAAAGGCGTAGAATCGACCTTTGTCCGACGTGGGGACCATCTTCGACACATACATCATGAGAGGGCCTTCAGCATCGCAGTTCTTGATAGCTAATGCGGCTTCGTCGTCAAGCGGGCCTTCGTACAAATTTTCCATTCGGTAACGTTGCGCAGTAACAGGGGATGGCAAATGAATTGCTATCATTTGCAAGAGAGCATCACCAGCGGGCAACCAGGTCCTCATCACAACCTGAAATGACGTGAGTTCAACTCCGAACCAAATTACCAGGAAGGCGATCGTACCTTCAACAATTGCTTTCCATCCTTGTCCTTATCTTCACCTTTCAGGGTTATCTTCAGCTTTTCCAAAAGTTTTTCAGTGTCCTCTTTTTTGTACTTCATGATCGCGTCAAATATCTGAAAAAAAGATCGTGCGTTTCAATACACGAAGGCGTAACCCACATCTCCGTGAAATGAGGAAAATGACGCAAATTCAATAATCGATTAAAAATTCAAGATGACATTTCCTGACACTTCAATCATAAATGATTAAGCAAGTAGCACAAGAACAAATTTGGAAAAATTACTGCAAATGCATCGATCAAGGTAAAGCTATAAGTTTGCTAAAATAATCAATACATGAAGACGATAAATGTTATCATTACAGGGCTTCATCAAATATTAAGAACTGCGTTCACATAATCGGCTCACTTTGAAAATAGGATCCAAGATGTACATGCAGAAAGATCTCTGATTGTCTGCGTCCTTTTGCTTAGCCCATTTCTTCGTTTTCGGGTTGAAGAAGTTCTCTCCCCACAGTTTGGACATGAGTTTCCCAACATCGATCTTGAATTTCTCTGCGTACATTTCAGCGAATTGTTTCAAAGTGAAAGCCCAACCGTGCAAACCGCTCCCGAAACCCACGCTTCCTTTACTCGGATCAACCTGGAAATTCAGAAGATTATAAATCTCAAGAAATCAGTAGTAGAAGTAGTTACTCACTGATATCACCCCCATGGGGCCGGAATCATCGCCGTAAGTCGCGATAATCACGTTCACGTTTTCAACAATACGCTGGAATGTTTGGTAGAGCTCCTCTTGGTCTAGCTGCAATTCTAGCAACGCACGATCCATCTTATTCATAAACAGGACGGGCTTGATGCGCTCCCCAATAGCTTGCCGAAGCACGGTCTCCGTCTGCACACAAACGCCTAAGAGAAGAAACTTCGAAGACGAAGTCTTCACAAACAAAATTCAAATCTTACCCGAAACGCAATCGACGACTACAAGCGCCCCATCAGTGACGCGAAGCGCCGCGGTAACTTCAGAAGAAAAGTCCACGTGTCCAGGGGAATCGATTAAGTTGATGAGAAATCCCGTCGTTTCCTTGTCTCGCTGATCAGGAGCAGTAATGTGCACTAGATCTTTCTGGCCCAATTCGAAGTACATCGAGATGGCGCTACGTTGAAAATCAAAGAAGCCAATTACGGGGTCGAAATATAAATATTAGATCGGTCACTTACGTTGATTTGATGGTAATACAGCGCTCTTGTTCATCCTTCCTTGTGTCAGTAAACCTTGCCTCACCAGCTTTTGATGCGGCAATGATACCAGCTTTCGAGACTAAAGAATCAGTTAGAGTGGACTTTCCGTGGTCCACGTGAGCAATGACGGACATGTTTCGGATGTTCTTCTTCCTGTCCATCATGACACGGATTTCGTCGACTGTGAAGTTCACCTACACCGGATACAGATATGTCACAAAATAGCCTTCGCATCTCACGTATGCTTTCTTTTTTGAAACCTCTGGTCAATAATTAAACAAATCATCGAAGATCGTACTCACCATCGTGCTGAATTTTCCACTCACGAGCGCTGAACGTCAACTTTGACTAACACAGACCCTTGCTGTAACCGTGGCAATGACCTAAAAGGGCTCTCCCCTTGTTCCAGTTGATGGGGGAGAAATGGAGGGGCAAAATACTTCGCTTAACTGAATCCCGGTGGGAGAATATTACACGCATTCATGACCTGATACACATAGTTGGCGCGAAGTGTAGGCCTTCGCATTCACTGTATATTTGCTAGAATCTAGATGTCAGCACTCACCTCACAGAACAGTACTGTGAGGCACAATATTCCATTTGTTATTTGTTATATGAAATCAGCATTTGCAGCTTTATTACTCCCTGAATGCAAAAATAAAAAGCTATCCATTCTATTTTATTCTCCCAACGGGATACAGCACAAACCGTACTCTAGAATTAGCGAAGGCTGGAACTCTACAGTAAATATAGATGCCATTATTAGGCACCCAAGGTTTCCAGTAGTTGTGATGCGTCCCACGAGTAGGGGAATCTTTACATTTACACAGGTAAGATAGGTTTTACAGTGCATTAATGTTATTCAAAACTCTGCACCAAAATTATTCTGCTTTTGTCCTAAGTTTTTATTTCTTTTGAAGGAAAGAAAACCAGCAGTTCCATCTTGAGACACATACAGCGGCAATTGTATTTCACTCTGACCATACAGTAACTAACATAAAGGATCACTCAAAAAATTTCGGGAATTCTGACAATACAGCGTTAAAATATGGTTCCCCTCAATTTACGGGGAGATTTTGAATGTCGCTCAACCTTCTTGTGTTTCTGGAACTTTCAACTTCAGCAGTTGATCAACTCATCGAAATTAACGGATGGTTAAACGCATACAATCCGAAACGCAGAAATCGTTTGCATTCGCACACATTTCAATATTCCCAGTATCTAGTACAAAGACAATATCAGCAGAAACCTGGTGCAACGTGATGTACGTTAAATCCACTCACTTAATTCCTTCAGGATAGTATGGGACAACATAGCAGCACTTTCTAGTTCGAAATATACGTTTTGTGCACGGAAGACCTCTCATGCGGAAACGCACAGCAACACAATCCATACATGAGGTTTCGACTACTCACATTCATAGAAACGAACAAATAAAAATAATTTCATAACATCCAATACATTTCAATATCACATAAACACACGAAGATAACGAAATGCGTAAGACACATTCGAAAATTTAGATTATTTCAAGGAAAACGTGGATCTCATCGCGTGGCTTTGTTACGAAATCCATCTGCGGAACAGCTTCCAATGCATCGTCCACCAACTTCAGTTTGAATTGCTGAATGAAAGCAGACAGCAGGGCCATGGCATGAACGTACGCAAACCTGAGCAAATGAACACGGATTTTTATGCGAAGTATGCTCATCAGCACCAACATAATTCCGGAGACAATTCTAACCTGAAACCAGGACACTTCCGCACTCCAGAAAATCCAAACGGAGCGAAAGCATTGGCGTTATGTTCGGCCCTGGCTGAATCGCTGAAGAATCTTTCCGGATCAAACCTTCAAGAATATTCGATGAAGTCAGTCGAGTGTGAAGAACCTCAAAAAAGGCACATTAAAGACGTACCTTCCGGGGTCATCATACGATTCCGGATCATCCATACTGGCTCCAATAGCATGAATCACCGGAGTGTACGCAGGAATAACATGATCTCCGAGCTTATGGTCCTTTTCGCTACAGCGGGCAGCGATTGGAACAATTTTACCCCATCGCAAAGTTTCGTCTATAACTGCTCGACAATATTTCATTTTGGAATAATTCTTCTCCGTGATTGACCCGCTGTTCGGGTCAGACGATAGATTCTGGTCGAATTCCTCCCGCAATTTGTGCTGAACATCTTTGTCTTTTGCCAGATTGTACAAAGCCCACGTTAGCACTGAAAAATGAAAAACGAACGTGCTACACATTGAAACTTAAAGATTAAAAAGTGAAAGGTGAACTTCGGATGATTTCACTCAATGGCAAGGTATTGCCAAGTTACCTTCTCTTGAACATAGCTCCCTAAAATCTGAATCAGGCCTCAATCTTCCAGATATCTAACAATTACCGAAATGAATGCTCAGACTTCGTCTCTTATAATTTTCTAAAGGGGGCAAAATCGGAACTTTCGGAAAGGTTTGCGGAAGTTGGGAATAAGGTATTGCACAATATTTGAAAAATCAAAAACTGTACAATATTAGGAATAATTGATTTTTGGAGAGGTAGATTTGAAAAAAGAAAAACATGTCAGCATCCACTCACAACTTGCTATTGGATAGAAGCCTTTGACGAAGTATGTCATTGCGTCAGCCTGAATCACTGCATCTTCGGCCTCCGTCAAATCCTCGGAGGGCTCCGATCTCTTCACACAATCGACAATTCTATCCAAAAATACTGGTGACAAGACAGCATCTCCACCAGCCTGCAACGCGGCGTCACGTTTCTGCAATCTGTTTCTAACAATATCACCCACGATCGCTTTGAGCCTTTTCAGACTCTGTTTGAAACGTGCTTGACGGGGGTCGTCTTCAGGGTACGAACGACCAAGCCAAAGCAACATCAACCCATCATAAGCCTAGAGAAAAGGTGTTCTGTTTAAATATCAAGAACCAATACCGACGCCTCAACAGCGCACTCACGAGATTAAATTCTGCGCCGAATTTTTTGCACTGATCTTCGCTCATGTCTCCGAAAAGACAGGAAGAAACCGCTCGAATCGCAAACGCAAGCATGGATCCATGAATAGGAAAATGATCGCCAGGTCCGGAGTATTCTTTCGCCCATTTTTTGATCATTTGATTGGCAACCTTGGAATCATCGCACATGAATTACAATACAAGTTCACGCTTCAGAATTAATCAATCTTATGTATTTCACCATTAAAGGAAGATTGAACTGCTCCAAGGCGGCATCAATCGTCATGCCCACATCATACTTTTCGCGTTGTTGCTTGCCTTCCGGTCCATTCAGGAAGAACAAGCTATCCTCCGAAAGTAAAGGCTCCAGGAATTCGAAGAGCGCCACTATGAGCACGAAACATTGTAAGTATCTTAACAGTTGAAAAGCTGAGAGATAATCAGCTCGAGGTCTTTATTCAGGGACCCCCAGACTTGGCTTGGTACCATCCACACAAGAGGGGAACAAAAACATACAATACAAGTTCTCCATCTTATTGGGTCAGAATGTGTCAAATAACTTGTTCGTTACATGAGAAATCGTCATGTACTACGTGTTAATCGTAATTTTATCGTTACTTTATCAGTAAAAGGCAATAAAAGGTGAAGGTGTTAGTTTCCCTCTCATAGACGTCGCCGGTTTGGGTCCCTTGAAGCAGACCAGCCAATAAATCTCAGAACATGCCAACAGTAATGATATTGATAAGTATTGCAGTGATGTGGTTCAAACTTGGGAATGAACACATACCTGGGCGATCGAAGAGCAGCGGATGATCTGCTGACACCAAGGGTGCACAGAAGCTAACTACATTTTGTTTGCCCCACCAAAATGAAACTATCGGCCCGTATTCGTCGTGTAGACCTTCCAGGTACGCAGGCAAGCTTCCAGCCTGAGCAATGTCGCCCAAATTCCCATCTCTTTAATGAACCAATCATGAAAATATACTGTAATCCGATAATAGAAATGGGCGTATCATACGACTTACGCGGCGTCACTCGGATCCGGCCCAGGGATTCCAACTGAATCATCCGGGGAACCCTGCGATTGATACAAAATGTAAGAAAAAAAATTCTATCCTAACAAAGAAATAAATGAACTCACCGGCGAAAAGTAGAATGTCAAAGCCACCAGGAAGAAGAAAGCACAGAACGCAAAAATCAAATACGCGATTAACATTTCGGTATCTGTCTGAAACCGCGGGGACAGGAGGTACACGCATGAAATAACCCAAAAAGTATGTAATGAATCGCGTCACAGATGCACACAAGAATCTTAATCATGGCGGCAAATCAAAATCATCAGGGCGCTTGAATGCCGCCCGTTTGCATCCAAATCCGCTTGAAGGTTGAGACAAAAACCATATCACCATTCCTCATCAATCAGAACAAAATTACTCGTAAGCTACAGTATAAACATCTCCTCTTGAACTAGTCTTCTTTCATTGACATATCTTCCAGTAGGATATCGAAATCCTCCCTCAACTTGGTCACAAAGCCGAACTTCGGAACGGCCTCCCAATTCGTATCTGCTAAACGGATCTGGTATCTTCCAATGATCATGTACAGCACGACCAACGCTTCCATGTAAGAAAACCTGCATCATAATTAATGAAAAAGAAACATTTAATACTGTAAAAAAAAATCCCTCTGAAGGTGGAATACAGTACATTGAACAAACGTCTAATTCAAAACGATTACGCATAGTTTTCGGAATGTAAAAACATTGTTTAAAACGATGATGCTCATTAAAACTAGTGTGCCGCATGAGATCCTTTTCGTTTAAAAATCGAGCAAGGTTCTCACCTGTAACCAGGACATTTCCTTTTTCCTGCGAAGCCAAATGGAATAAACCCTGTGGATGGTATGCGAGGTCCGGACGATGACAAAAATCTCTCAGGATTGAAACTGTTAAGAGGAAAAAAATTCAGAACATGTCACATGCTTCTTTGGGTATGTTTTCTTTCGTGTATGGTCGTGCACGGACAGTTTGGCACACCTCAAAACAAAATATTTTTTCGTACAATGCAATACGATAGCAGAGTTTTAAAAGTCCAAGTCTTGAGACATCAACCAAGAATGGGAAGTGCAAATAACAGTTCCTCATAAAAAATGTGAATAGGAAAAAGTGTTAAAAAAAAAAAAAAAAACGAAGCGGCTTTGTTAGGTTAGATGCTTCGAAAATGTTTTCCAAAATACAGTATTTTTCATGAACACATTTCAAAAATCATTTTACCACCAAATGGTTATTTCTCCAAAGCCTATTCTTGTTTTAAATTTCACCATCACCACATGTTGACTTTGTTGACAAGTGCTATACTGTAAAGTACTATACTGTATATCGGGACGCGCTCAATCGTGCCGAAACCATAATCAATGATAATGATGCCATCCGTGCGGAAGAAACACTTGAAAAGTGGACCAACTCAGACGGTCGAGGAAAAAATTGCGGATCGTCCATACTGACACCAATAGCTTGTATTACTGGTGTTCCAGGGGGTATTTTATAACCCCCGAGGATTTGTTCATCTTCACTGCATCGAGCAGCGAATGGGGCAACTTTTGCACAACGAAGCGTTTCGTCCAGCACTGCTCGGCAGTATTTCAACCCAGAATAGTTCCGGCAAGACAAGGAGCCATCTCCTATCAGCTCAGCCAGTTCGTCACGCACTCTCCTCTGAACTTCGGCGTGTTTCGCCAAAAAATAGAGGCACCATGTCAACACTAAATAAAGAAAAGGGAAAAATGTAGGCCAGAAACAAAACCGAAAAAGCGATCACTTGCAAATAGGAATTAAACTTACTATATGCCGTGGTATGAAATCCGCCGATGAAATAACTTATGGTATCCGCCTGGATAAATTCCATACAATGAACACTATCAATATTTCCATTATCCACTTCATTCGCCCATGTTTCGATGATGGCATCAATAAATATTTTGTCATCGTCGCTTGCTTTAAGGACAAGTAGTCCATCTTTCGTATGAGATTCTAGCCTGTTTTCCACCAGTTCCTTCACGCAACCTTTTAGCGTTTCCAAAGCGGAGTCAAATCCTTCACTTGATGCTTGTTCGTTTAATCCGTCCATTACCTAGGCACCCAAGCCAGATCCATATTAAATATTTTTTTCAACAGAAGATTCTTCATAAAGTTAAGAGAAAAATTACAATATCGTAAGATTTTACAATGTCGGCAGTGTTGGAGGCGCTCATCTCCCCAAAGCAGCACTTAGAAATCGCATGAATCGCAAAATTCGCCATGGTTCCTCCAACACGCATCTTTCCCCGCTCGTTGAGGGAAAACGTGACATTTCCAACCTTCAGAAAGATTAATCGAAGATTATTTTATCAACGCAAGAGCGATTTAAAAACGTTTGCCTCCAGAAGCGTATCGATGTAGTTTTCACAAGCTTGAATCGAAAAATACGAGTCGTACTGTTTTCTGCGAAACTTCCCGTCGATTCCGTTAGCAAATTGGATACTGCGCTTCCCAACCAGAGGCTCGACAAACCTGAACAGTTCTTCTGGAATCGGAATCAAGATAATTTACGATTGGTAAAACACTAGTTTCCAAATGAAATTGTCATTATATTTGAGTTCGAAAATAATTTTGCTTGGATAAACGTACCAGGTCGGTCGAAAAGTTTTGTCTGAAGCTTGAAATGATCGGAAGAGCATATGCTGACGACTCGCATCTTCTTCCACCAAAAGGATACAATTGATCCATATCTGGTATGCAGTCCCGCCAAATATTCATGCAAGCTACCAGCTCGAGATATTGCATCCAGATTTCCTCCTCTTATCATACAAATAAATTGATCATCGGTTAAGCAACAGAATCTGATCACAAAATTACTTGGGCGTGTCAGACGGTGGTCCAGGCGGAAATGTTGGGCTTCGATTTCGCTTGAAACGATGAACGATTACTTCGAGCATTCGGGGCAATTCGAAGAAATTTAGCTACTCACCCTCGAGAGTACTTGCCACGAAACTATGGCAGCAAAAACAGCCAAGATGAAAGGGAACGCCAACCAGAACATTTTCTAGAAAATAGTGCGAATAAACAATCACATCTACTTCTCATGCATAAATTTTTTTCAACCAGGTGCGCGAAGAGCCGACGAGGACCGGAATTATTCCCGTTCAGCCTTCTTCACGAAACTTAAAGACACTCCAATACTTCATGACAAGCATATCGTACAACTAATGAGCGAACGTCTGAGCACACTGTCACATGTAAAAATCCGAAAGTCGTTTCAAGAATCGCAAGATGCTCAACGTGCTTAAAAAAATATCAAACAATCGCAAGACAAGGAAGCTAATGCTTCAATAAACACAATAAAAACCGAGGAAAGCAATGAAGGATGAAACCTCAAATATATTTTGCATTTGTCTACCCCGTAGAAACAAAACGCGTTCCAAATGGCTTCAAAATGTTTGAAAACCTAAAAAGCATTCCCCGAATAGCACAAATATGATATCCTGAATCCGAACACGGAATCTTCATTCTGACGATAGCTTCTTTGCCTGGACCCATACCCC